CTTGTCGAAGACCTCTCGAAGGTCTGATGTACTCTGATGGGGAGCCATTAACGAGAATGGAATAGGATACTGTGGTCACACATTCCTGGATCCAGGATATGAACGGACTACTGAACCCTAATTTCTTCATCATTTCAAAGAGAAATGACCACTCAATACGATCATACGCTTTCTCCATATCTAGTTTTAAGGCCATCTAACATTTCGACCCTGAGTAAAGGGTTTTAATATGATGAGTGACCTCATGACTAATCATTATATTATCCGTAATCTGGCGATCCTTGATGAAACCATTTTGGGATTGAGAGATGATTGATGGCAAAACCTTGCTAAGTCTATTGGCTAGAATCTTGGAGATAATCTTATAAATCACTTGGCAAAGGCTAATGGGCCTAAGATTTTTCATAGTTCCAACTTCCGATCCTTTTGGCACTAAGGAAATCCAAGTTCGATTAAAACTTCTCAACAGTCTTCCGGTGTGAAAGAACGTTAGAACTGCCTGGGTAACGTCTTGTCCAACCAAGTGCCAATAATGTTGGTAAAATCCTGCTGTGAGCCCGTCTGGACCTGGAGCTTGAGTTTTGCCCAGGCTGAAGAGTACTTTTTTTATTTCCTCTGCGGTGATAGGGGCTATCAACTCCAGGTTCTGCTCTTCTGTAAGGAAGTTTGTAAATACTAGACCGGAAAGATTTATCCCGCTCGGGTTTTGACTTTGGAATAGCTCTTGATAGTACCTCTTGGCTATGCCACATTTTTCTACTTCTGAAGTACACCAGATTCCTCTTTCATCCTCAAGTCCGCAAATAATGTTATTTAATCGCCTTGAAGAGGTAACCAGATGAAAATAAGCAACATAAACCCACATTGTATACGACACTGAAAATACTATTTGACTATAAAAAAAACTAATTTGACACTTCCGTTATCACAATTCACAACATTCATTAATTTTCTTCCATTCTTCCTTCCTCGCTAGTTCCATGACCTCATTCAAATTGTCAAGTGCCTTGAATCACTAGAGCCAAGAAAGAGAAGGAAAATGTACCACGTTGAAGCAATTACTAGGGTGTAATGTATTATTCCAGTTTCTAGAATCGAAAAAAAAAAGTACAACTGTTCTTTGTATCCCATTTCTGTCACATTCTCTGTAGACTGTGCAGGAGGGAGGTCGGAGGAATCACATGTTCTTTGTGACAAGTAGGGCTGTTAATGAGCCGAGTCGAGCCGAGCTTTGCCATAGTTCGGGCTCGGCTCGTTAATATATTTCCAGGCTCGAGCTCGGCTCGTGTTCGTCACGAGCTTTAATATGCAAGCTCGAGCTCGGCTCGTTTATGAAAATGAAAGCTCGAGCTCGGCTCGTCAAATAAGCTAAACGAGCCCAAAATCGAGTTCAGCTCATAAAATATTCATGATAGCTCAAGATTGACCTAGAACTACGCACAAAATTACATTTAAATCTGTAGCAAAGTAAAACACAATATTTATCCCAATTTCAATACATAAAATCCATTAATTCTAATTATTTTTTATGCCAAACCATTAAATGAACTTGTTCGCGAGCTTTCGAGCTGAACATGGTATGGCTCGAGTTCGGCTCGTTTAGTTAACGAGCTTGTTCGCGAGCCGGCTCGATTAAAACGAATCGAGTATGAAACGAGTTTTTCTCGAATCGCACACCGAGCCGTTCATGAACGACTTGGTTCATTAACAGCCCTAGTGACAAGTACAAATTCCCCTGACTATTACCAAAAGAAAGAAAGAAAGAAAGAAAGAAAGAAAGAAATTAAAGGTAGCTATTAATAATAAACTTGACTATTGCCCTACTGGGCGGCTTTGATTCTAATTTATTAAATTTTCGTTATAGCAGAAACAAACAATTGATTAAAATACCATAAAAGAGGCCATTGATCAAAATAAAGTCGCCGTTTGAATATCGGACCATATTCATCTTGATTCTAACGTGCACGTTTGACTTCAATTATATGCTATGTTTCAAATCTACAACTTGTGCGATTTTCTGATGTTTTTGAAGGAAAAAAAACTACAATGTTTTAGGCATGTTAAGCTATGAATAATATATAACAATTATTGACTTTCAAAATTGTCGTGTAACTTCTTATGAATCTTATGTTGGTGCTTATTGATAATTTGTCATCTGTCAAAAATCAAATGGAAAAATATTTTTTGGTTAATCCACCATCAATAACTTTGTTTTTAAAAGTTCCTGACAATTATAATAAAAGGAAATGTAATTTACTCATACTACCCAATTTTAAATTTTGGCTACAAAGATAACTAGATGATATATACGTGGTTCGAATCCTGTCTTTAAACCAAATTGTTAACAAGTTTTCAAAATCAATACTAGTTATTAGATAAATTAAGGACAATTTTGGAGTGAAATGTAATGTAAGAACTTTGAAATTAAACATGCTCAGTATGAAACTATGTAAAGATGAATGATCTCCGCGAACCTCAATTAAGAGAGAAACAGAAAAGCTCTGATACAACTTGTAACGTCCCAACTTTTTCTGATCAAAATATTGTCCACTTTGGACATACCCCGCACTATTTGCTTTTGTTTGCATTATGATGACTTCCCAGAAGGTCATTCATCTTTGCTTTGCTCCATACTAAGCACGTTTAACTTCAAAGTTTTACAAGAACTCATCCATTTTACTCTAAAACTCATGTTGTCAGTTAAGGTTGGATGTTTATCAGTGAATCATAGAATGATTTCCTCTATGTTTTGTTGATATTGTTCGCTTTAAACCTACCCCACACGGTTATGCTTTTGGGCGCATCATGATGAATTTACGATAGGTCAACCATCTTTTCACTATTCAATAATATACACGTTTAACTATAGGAGTCATTTGCTTAATGGATTTAAAATGAGGGTTTTGTGATTTAAAACCCCAAAGATTTATCAAGGATTTGAGACATTATGGATTTGAAACAATTCTTTGTTTGTTGAGTTGTATTTATAATGGATTTAAGGGTTTGGGATTTAGAACTTAAAGTCCAAAATTACATTATTATCATTTTCTATTTGTTTTTCATATTTATGATATGTACTCATTATGGATTTGTGACATGTAACAAATCCCACGTCAATATTAGGAATTTACAAGTCTGTGTGGTCCACGGGTTTGAACCCTTAAAATCCGGGGAAAAATCTCAAAATACACATGTTTTTAAAAACAATTCCCAAAATACACACGTTATAAAAAATTTTCCCAAAATACACATGTTTGAGCATCGCGGTGAATGCATCACCGCGGTTGACGGCCGCGGTGAATGCCCGAATTAACTCTGAAACTTCAAACAAACGTAACTTTGCGCTCGGTTATCCGATTGTAGCGAAAACTTTTTTGATTCCACATAACTTTTCAAGATCTTTCAATCTGAAACAAGACTTCATCCAAAAAAAAAATCATTTGGTACCCCGAACGAGCAATTTTTCTATTTTGACAAACTTTGAAGATCATAACTTTGTACTCCACAATCCGAATGTCATGAAACTTTTTTTGATTTTTCATAACTTTTGAAGTACTACAACTTTGATTATGACCATAATTTTGGAAAGTATGTGGATTTGTGAAAAGTAAAGGCAAAGTTATTCCCAAAATCCCGTATACCCAAAAATACTTCTTTTTTAAAAAATTATTTCCTAGTAAAAGTTGTAATTCTTAAAAAGTTATGCGCAATAAAAAAAAAACTTTACGACGTTCGGATTGAGGAGCTAAAAGTTATGTCCTTCCAAAGTTGGTCAAAATAAAAAAATTGCTCGTTCGGGGTAACAAACGACATTTTTTTTAGACGAAGTCTTGTTGCAGATTGAAAGATCTTGAAAAGCTATATGGAATCAAACAAAATTTCGCTACAATCGGATAACCGAGCGCAAAGTTACGTTTGTTTGAAGTTTCAGAGTTAATTCGGGCATTCACCGCGGCCGTCAACCGCGGTGATGCATTCAGCGCTTTGGTCTGCCGCGGTAAATGCATTCAATGCGGTTGACAACAACGGTGATGCCCAAACATGTGTATTTTGGGAAAAAATTTTATAACGTGTGTATTTTGGAAATTTTTTTAAAAAATATGTGTATTCTTGGAATTCGTCCTAAAATCCGTGGGTCCCACATATTTGATCACTAACGTTTGCTTCGTGGATTCTAAAAATGAAGGTTTTACTAAAACTTGGGTTTTGTAAGTAAAACCATGGATGTATGAGGGTTTTGGGTTCATTATAGACTTGAAAAATAACATTGTTTGTTTCATAGATTTCATGATGGATTTGGTTAATTATATTTGTATGTATAAAGTGAAATTGATCTATATTGCCCTCATTTGTATGAGAAGAGAAAGGAAATAGAAAGGGCAAATTGATCATAAATGATGGACTTGGAAGTCCATAATCAATTCCCACCTAAAGTGGTGGAACTTTCAAATCCGTGGACCCTTAAAGTTCATGGGGCCCACATAGTTGTTGCCCCTAAATCCATGGAATTTGAACAAAATCCATGATTGATTCAAATTTATCACCAAATTCATCATGAAATCCCTCTTGCAAACAACCCCAAAAAAAAGTGTAAACAAACTATGAATTTCCCTTAATCCATGATGAAATCCAAATCCACAAAGCAATCGACCCCTAAGATTAAATATTTATTATGAATCATAGATCTCTCACGTAATTTTTCAATGTGAGATTTGACTAAAAAGTTAGGTTTAATGGCCTATTTTATTATTTTGAGATTTTCCAAATTAAAAAAAAAATCGCTGCATAAATGATTAAATGGTCATACCGATTTTAATTCCACCATAAAGAGGGTAAAAACAACATCAAGAAGAAATGCATCGCCCTAAATCCCTCCAAACAATTAAAAGCCCCTTCTCCCCTTCCTTTATCCTTGCTTCATGCATTTGCCCAAGAGACCGACAATTTTTGCAACCACTCACAAAATCCCCCAACGCAATCCTCCAAAAAGGACAGCAACCCCAGACAGTGAGAGAGGGAGAGAGATCTTCACCCTTGGACGTATTCTTTCTGGGTAAGAAATTTGCAAGCTGTTACCGATAACTTCGACAATCAACCACTCCCCTGATTTTGGCCTTTCCTTCCACAACCGCACACAAGAAGCTTCCCTTTCTCTAACATTCGGCCCGCCATGGTTAATGCCTGTGCTCACTCTCTCTTTCCATAATAGCAGCCCCACGCCTCTCAAATACCCCATTAAACTATTCTTTTCCCCCCTTTCTCTTCTCTTCCGTCCCTCTCTCTCTGTCCTCTGTGCCTGCAGACGAAAGTCGGCATATATCATATATATATATATATCATCGAGAAACAGGGATCCTCTTCATTCTGATTCTGCCGGCTCAACCGGAGCTAAAAGGAATCAGCTAGCCATTCTTCTCCAAACGGCAAAAGCCTGAGACCTGAATCAACCCCGACCAGACCCGGATTCTGATTTTTGTTTTTTTTTTTTTTTTGTCTTGGAGTCGCCTGCAAACTAAAAAGGCCTTCAAATTCTTTTCTTGCTGCAGAGGTACGCCTCCATGACCTTTTAATTATCACTAGTGTTTTTCCCCACCCTTCTTTTTATTCCTTCCACTTGTCGCCTCTGCCTCTGTTTTTCTCCCCACTCTGCAGGCATTAGATGCTCAGAACTCTGCTCTCTTCCTTCCCTTTCCATTTCTGACCATATATTCTTTCTTGCCTTCCTTCCTTCCAATTTCAGTTTTATATAAGTTATAGACGTCTTCTTCTCCAGCAATTACAATTTACAAGAGGGGAATTAGGAGAAATGGGGTGTGGAGAGAAATGGGTCCGGAGTTCTGAATCGGAAGAGCAAGGAGAGGAGGAGGAATCACTGTCGCTCTGCGACTTGCCAGTTAATTTACTCGCGGAAGATGAAGAAGGAGCAGAAGAGAAGCCATTGTTGTCGCCTGATGTGGGTGAAGAGGTTCCGTTAGATCCTGGGCTGAATTCGACAAATTCGGAAGATTTCGATTTCGGGCAATTACTGGGTAGCTCAATGGGATCGAAATCCTCAAGCTCCGAGATGTGTGCCGCCGATGATATCTTCTTCCAGGGGCAGATTCTCCCGTTCCGTCACTCAATCAGCTCGGAGAGCGGCAGCGGCGTTCACCCGTTCAAGCCTGCCGTACAACGGCAGGGCAGTTTGAGTACTAGCCGGTCAATTTCGCGGTCGGAATCCATGGACCGGAGCTCCTCCAGTGGTGGGTTCACCAGATTCAGCAGCAGGAGTAGCAGCATCAACAGCCATTACTCATCGTCGTCTTCCGCCAGCACCAATTCCAACTCCAGCTCCGCCCGTCCAAGGATTGTAAACCGATTCCACGCTTTCCCCAGTCCGAAACCCCAAATCCTCAAAACCCCCAACGCTCCGCCGCTGGGAAGCGCCGCGGGGGCCGCGAATCGGTCGAAGAAATCGTCAATTTGGGAAACTCTGAGACTGGGTTTGGTCCGCGCCCCGGAGATGGAATTCCAGGATCTCAAATCGAGAAGCTCCGTCAGCCGCAACAGCAGCACCGGCAGCAACAAGGCGGAGAAACAGGGGACCGCCGGCAAAAACCCGCCCCCGGCGCCGGCAAAGACGAAGAGATCGTATTCTACCGGGAGGCTGCTCGGCGGGTGCGATTGTACCGTCGGAGCGGTTCAGCCGGTGGCATTGAACCACGAAAACATCGTGGCCGTAAAGGGGAATAAAAAGAAGCATCGGGATGACCGCCGGCGTGGTAAACAGGGCTCCGGCGAGGAGGGAAACAAAAGCAAGACGACGAATTCGGGAATGATGTTGTCGACGGTGGGAAAGGAAAAGGAAAAGCGGCCGCTAAGGGGAAAGCAAGAGGCGTCACGTCATCGGACGGTTGAGTGGATAAAGAAGCTTTCATCACATGGTGGCTTTTCTGTCGTGGGAGATCATGAGGAAGATGAGTGAGTTGGAGGAGAAGAAGAAGGCTACCATTGCTGGCTCGTGAGTGACAGCCACTGAAATCCCACAAATGGCTTCGCGTGCTTTTGGATTCCCCACTTTTTCTTTTGGGCCTTTTCAGCCTTTTTCTAACGATTCAATTGTCTCTTGGTGGGTGGAGAGTGGAACCTTTAGTTTAAATTTCTGTTGGTTCTTTCATGGGTGGCAATCTATGCAACAAAAAGTGGGAGTGGTGATTGTATCCATGAAAGAAAATGATTAGTCTAGCTGACTAGCTTGTATTATATGTATGCTTCCTCAGGTGTGCAAGCCTAAAGCGATTGGGAATGAGATATATTACGAGAAACATTTTTCTATTCATTCAAATTTGGAAGAAATCCGTCTCTGTTTTTGGTTGCGAGAATGTATAAGAATTGTCTTTTGCCTTTTTCTTTTTTTACCAAAAATAATCAGATTCAATAAAATAGATACTAGGCAGTTACATCCTGTCATTCGGTTAGGTCTGAAAATCTAATAAACGACTCATAGTCGGGTACAATGAGAGAGCCTGTCTAGCCACCATATGAACTTTACCCTTTTACTAGGCCGACCTACAAATCGAACACTAAACCCGGAGTGGCTGGCAAAATAATGCACGATTTCTTCAAGAATAGCATCCATCCGGTTATCTCTAGTATCAGCTCGATTGATTTTGTCGATGATCACTTTGGCATCTCCCTCAAATCTTATGTCCGTAAACCCATTTTCAAGACACCAGATTATAGCCTTACGGAGGACAAGCAATTCCACCACCATGGGGTCAACAAGTAAAGAAAACCGAATCCCCTTAACAATAAGGATATCCCCTACTGGGTTCATAAAAAACATTCGGCCTGCCGAATGAGATCCACTCCTAGTTGCCCCATCCCACATACAAACAATCCTAGTGTCCTCAAGCGGACCTAGGTGTGGTACGACGGGAAGAGTAGCTTGTGGAGCTCTCCCTCTCGGCAAACTAACTCATTCCTCATATTGCTGATGAAACTGTCCCATCAAAGCAGGGATCCCAAAGTATTTGCCCTCAAAGACAACCCATTTACGCGACCTCCAGATCCGCCAGAGGACAGCTACAGCCACCATGAATAGCGTCGGTTGATGGATTAAAGTCATCAACCTCTTAAGAAAAAATGGGAAGGTCTTACGAGGCAATCCCTCACCTAGATACTCCAGCCCCGAATAATCTCAAAGGAGTCGTGCCACCGGACAATAGAGAAACAAAAGTTCCATGGTCTCAGAATTCTCCCAGCAAATCGGGCATCTGGGAAGCACTGGGACTTTTTTCTCAACGAGGGCTTCAGTAGTGGGCAGAATTCGATTGAGGATCTGCCAAACAAATACTTTCAACTTTGGGGGAATATCAGCCTCCCACTACCGAATCCAGCTAGACTTATCCATCCAACTTGCGGTAGACTTCCAGCGACCCCTCCTCGTTTCTAGTGAGACGACCAAATGGTAGGCCGACTTGACAGAGAATACCCCGTCAGTAGTGTCATGCCATATCAGCCTATCCTCCACATTCTGACGAGGAAGAGGAATACCTTTGATGGCAAAGCAAGTAGGCGGGTCAAACCATTGTCTAAACTTGAGATCACACCAATGCCCCTCCCCCTGACAAATAACCTCAGCAACTGGGGGTCACCATTACCAATTTGCCATCTTAATCTCATCTCCAATAACTGTCGACCAAACAAGACACTCTGTCAACCCCACGAAGGGCAAGAGCGAGCCATAGCTTTGAGGAAGGTCTCATTCGGGAAATGCTTTCCTTTGTATACATAGGCAAGCAGAGATTGGGGCTCAGTAAGGATACACCATCCAATTTTGGCTAAAAGAGCCTGATTAAAATGCTCAAATCGGCGAAATCCCATCCTCCCTCATGTTTACTCCTACACATATTGCGCCAGGACACCCACCAAATCCTCGAATGGCCTTCATCAGCATCCCACCAAAATCTGGCCATATGTTTATCTAATAGACGACACAGGGAGATATGCAACCTGAAACATGACATCACATGCAACGGCAATGCCAAAGCAATTGACTTAATCAAAGTTTCTTTTGCCGCCCAAGATAATGTCCTCTGTTTCCACCCCTGTAATCGCTCTAATAATTTATCCTCCACATATCGGAAAGTAGTCATTTTAGACCGAGCAATCAGCGTAGGTAAGCCCAGGTATTTATCATGGACCCCAACCGCCCCAACCCCCAGTTCACTCGCTGGCCACTAAGTTCCTCATACTCATTCAAGACCTCGATCAAATTCTCACACTCCTGGAGAGTACCTAGCAGGAATAAATAAGAATCATCGACAAAAAAACAAGTGTGAGATCCGGGGAGCACGAGGAGCCACTTTTACTCCCTCAAGCCTTTTCTCCGCAACAGCCTTGCGAAGGAGGGCTGCAAACCCTTCTGTGCAAAGCACAAACAAGAGAGGGGAAAGGGGATCCCCCTAACATAGCCCCATAGAGGGTGCGAAGTAACTGGAAGGGGTGCCATTCATTAGAACAGAAAAAGACGATGATCGGAGACATTCATATATCCATCCTTGCCAGACAGAGTTAAAACCCATCTTGTCCAAAAGCGCTAGAAGAAAAGGCTATTCGACTCTATCATAGGCCTTTTCCATGTAAACCTTTAGAGCCATGTACCCTTTCTTACCTCGCGTTTTGATTTTCAAGTAGTGCATTAACTCATGCCCAAGGAGGATATTCTCAACAATTTGACGCTCCCGGATAAACGCATTCTGACCCTCCGAGATGATGTATGGTAATAGGCCGGCAAGACGTTCAACCATGACTTTGGTCATAATTTTATAAAGGGTTAATAGCATTTTATACCCCTCTACCATCGTAAGTTAACAAACGTACCCCTCTATTATTATTTTGCACAAACGTACCCCTCTATTATTGCAACGTAACACATGTACCCTTCCATCCCTATTTCCGTTAGTGGACCTTTAAATGACTTGCAAAATAACTATATTACCCTTTTATCTTAATTAATATAAAACTAATTCAAAAAAATAAACCAAAATAATATGTCGTTGTTACCATTTTCTGCCCGTTCAGTTCCCAAACGGGAAAATATCTCCGCCAATAATTCATCTGACATTTTCCAAGGCCAAGGATGATGTTGTAAATAGTTGAATGCCGTCGGCGGGGGTTCCATCTCCAAGATCTCCACCTCCATGATGAAGTCCACGCTTATTATTTGTTCTGAGCTTCTTCGATTGATCGGTCCAACAGTCAGGCCAACCCTTTTGGTTACCACGGCGGGGAGCGATGAATCCTATAATTCGATCGGGAAGAAGGGAACTCTGGACGCTTTGGGTCATTTTACAAGTCATTCAACGGTCCACTAACGGAAATAGGGATGAAAGGGTACATGTGTTACGTTGCAATAATAGAGGGGTACGTTTGTGCAAAATAATAATAGAGGAGTATGTTTGTTAACTTGTGATATAGAGGGGTATAAAATGCTATTAACCCTTTTATAAAAAATTGGCATAAGCTGATTGGTCGCAATTGCCTCATGGATACCACATTATCCACTTTGGGGATCAAGGTGAGCTAGGTATGATTGAAACTACGGAGCATCCTACTTGTTGTAAAGAACGAACATAATGCTTCAATCACCAAGTCACCCACAATATCCCAGAATGCCTTGAAGAATTTACCCTTGAATCCATCTGACCTAGGAGCCTGCTTTGATCCCATAGCAAATATAGTTTTTCGTACCTCACCAGGGAGAACTTCGGCCGTCAGACTGGCATTCATATCCGGTGTAACACTATGAGCGATCAGCTGATTAGCCACCCGGTCAGGCATGTTATGCACCTGATTCTCAGAGGTGAAAAGATGATGATAAAAGCTAGTAGCAATATCTGCTTTCTCCTTTTCTTCGGTGATCCACTCACCATTATCATTACGGAGACCGGCCACAAAGTTCTTTTTACGACGAGTCCTAGTCACCGTATGGAAATAAGACGTATTTTTATCACCTTTATTCAACCATTGAACTCTGGATTTTTGCTGCCAGTAAACTTCCTCAGCCTCCCATTTGTCTATTCAACTCAATTTACAGGTTTCGGACCTCATCCCAATCAATAGGGTGGTTTTGTTTTATCCTCTCAATTTCAGCCTGGAGAGATTTTATATTGCGCAAGGAATTTCTAGTGCCTGCTCTACTTCAGTCATGCATACAGAAAATGGCGGAGCTTCTTAAGGCGTTCCTAAAGTCAAAACATAGGGGTACTGATAACGATGTATTTGCATGTGTTTGCACCCTTATTTCTTATCCATTTGCGACTCCTAGTCGTGCATCTTTGGCCTATTTTACGCTGGTTTGTGCTATTTTGTCACATTTTAGGTCCCAAGTTTCGAACGAAAGGCTAGGCTCTAGTTTCAAGTCAATCGGATATCAATTGGCGATTCGGGAGAAGAAACTCGGGCACGACCTGAAGAAGAATGGATTTCTACCTCATGTATGGACAAAGAATCAAGCAAGCTTGTCATAAAAAGAAATATGACGAGACTACGAGCATCTGGGATCAAACGGCGCCTGATTCAGAGTGCGGACGCGGGAGAAACAAAGCATTGAATATAGGGGAACAAGTTCGGCAGTAAAAACACGGGCATACTACCCTAAAAACACGGTCGTGTTTCATCTGGCCTCCGCTAGTATTTTTATTGCTGAGGGCGTGTCGTGAGGGCTGCTGGGGACAAAACACGGGTGGGCAAAAGTAAAACACGATCGTGTCCTCGACCGTGTTTTGCCTAGAATCGGGTTTTTGAGGCAGATTCAAGCCAAAGAAAGAGAGAGCTGGGTTTTGGTTCCCAAAACACCCAAGGGACGAACCCTAGAGAGAGAGAGAGCGACTTGGGAACATTCTTGGAGCTATTTTGGAGGATTTCTTCGCCATTGGAGCTCGGGAATCAAGCTTGGAGATGTAGATTGAAGATCTAGATCAGATTTCTACAGTCTCTCTCTTCTCTATCGAGTGACTTCCCTTCACTTAAGTTTTGAGGAACCCTAGTCCCATGTGTTAGGATCTTTCTTGTTGGAAGTTTTGGATGCTATATTGTTTGATTATAATCGATTGAGGCATGATTTATTGAGTCAATTGAAGCCTGATCATCTTCTCTTGATTTATGCTTTAACCTATGATAGATAGAATCTGATTAGGTTAAGAGAGCTTCCTTGATTGATAGTGGTGAATTGGTTGTGCGAGAGTCAATCAATTCACTGCTTTGTACAGGAATTCATTCCAGTAGTGGGGATCTGTGTGAATCGCCTTAGCAGTCTATCTCGGTGAAGGCTAGTCGCCTGCCGGGTATTCTGTCTAAGAGGGCT